CGCGCCCGCTGCTGTCGCTCGGGCTGCTGCAGCTGGTCCTGGGCTGCTGCATGGTGGCGCTCAGCTTCGGGGCGCTGTCTCTGAGCAGCTCCCCGCAGGTGAAGAACTCGTGCCCGTTCTGGGCCGGCTCTTCGGTGAGTACGGCGGCGTGCGCACCCCGCTGGCCCCGGCCAGTGTCCCCCCTCGACCCCCCCCGTCCCAGGGCTGCGTTTAGGGGGGCGCACACCCCGTGAAGACTGGGGGGGATGCTGAGTGTGTGTGTGGGGGAGTCAAGTTCAAGGGGGGGCGGGGAGGGAGCTGGGCACTGTCTGTCCTCAGGCTGGAGGATTTTATTGTCACCCCCCCCATCAAGTTATTATCACAAAACAAAGCGATCGAACTCTTGGAGAGACTGGACGCAGGATGTCATGAATGCAATGATTAGATGTGCGGGATGGACGGAGTGACAAGGGACAGACAGGGCCCCCTCACTAGGTTTTGTTCCCTGTTTAAAGACGCATGGGATTGTGGAACGTGCCTGGTGTTGGATGGCTTCCACTCTTCCTTGAGAAAGGTAATGGGAGGGTGCGTGGAACTCGCTGCCTGCTTGCACCCGGTCATTAAAAGAAAGGTCCCCCCCTCACTCCAGGCGAGCCCCTGGTGCCCTGGCAGACTGCTGTGCACAATCTGATTCTCAAGAAATAGAACCTGTCATTACGGAGGAGCCCTGGGAGTGTGGGGCAGGTGGCTGGAGACGTCTGTCTTGCTCCGGACCCAGTCCTGAGCTTGTCTAGTGAGGAAGATTGATTCTCCAGAGAAGCCTAACCTCCAGCCAGCCTGCATCTGTCTCTCCTTCTTCCTTCCAAGACTTCTACAAGTTGCAAGACATGCAGCCCCTGAGATATGCAGGCAGCGAGAAGAGGTGGACACAGTTCTTTGGAATGATTGTAGAGGATCAGCAAAGTAAATGATAGCTATGAACTAAGGCAACCCGGTAGTATGGCAGTTGCTATAGGTTTTACAACTATCTGCAGTTGAATCAACGTCTGTATTTTGTAGAAACTGTGCTCTTAAAGGGTCACACATTACCCAGCTTCAAAAGCAAAATTTAAGAGTGTAGGGAGCACTTATTAAACCTAGAGTAATTGCTTGAATGAAAACCTTAAGAGCAGCAGGTTCCTTGAGTTTGAATGGAAAAATTTGCACTTCCTCTGGACCAATCGACTCTTCTTTTGAAATACTTAGATGATAGACGGTCATACTGATAGCCATCTGGCCTGGGCTGTGTATGGGGAGTGAAACTCACAATTTGTGCATCAGTTGGACAAAATTCTGTCTCTTGCCTTGGGACCCTGTCGCTGTTTTCTGGAAATTGCCAAAGGCTGGGTATTCCAAGCAGTGTAGGAGTTAGATCTCTTTGTCTCCCTACACCACTTGCCTGGCAGCAATCAGCCAAATGGTAGCTGTGTTTTATTCCTTGGGATGCCACAGGCCAGATTCTTATGTAATTTTTAAATTATTATTCATATTTTTAAAGGAATTTGCCGTTTGTAAAATCACAGTCTATGTGTTATCAAAGATAGATAGTTTAGGACTCTCTCTCTCTCTCTCTCTCTCTCTCATGCACATATATGTAGGCATGTCAGGGCTTGGGCACTGTCCCTTAGCTTTTTTTGTTAAAGGCTGGCACTCTACCACTTGAGACACAGGTACGCTTCAGGCTTTTTGGTATTTAATTGGAGGTAGGAGTCTCACAGACTCTTCTGCCCAAACTGGCTTTGAACCTCAGTCTTCATAGCTCAACTTCCTGAGTAGCGTGAGTGGCTAGTACTTGGCTGGTTTTCTTTTTCCTCTTCTAATGTTCAAACCTGAAATCAGTTTCCTTTTGAGAATTATTTCAGAGGTAAATAAATGCTCTTAGATGTCAGCTGAACTGCAATTGGATTTGATGAAGTATAACACAAAGATTATCAGCAGGAGATGAAGGCCAGTACTCTGGGCTTGCCAGTAGACAAGTCCTTATCTCTGAATTGAACCAAACAGAGAAGGAAAGAGCAGAGAAGGAAGCAGGGGGTTTGGAATTGGACTCTCTCTCTCTCTGTCATCAGGCTTGAACTCAAGGCCTGGGCACTGTCACTGAGATCTTTCGCTTAATGCTAGAGCTCTAGACTTTGAACCACAGTACCACTTCAGTGTTCTGGTGGTTAATTGGAGATGAGAATCTTATGGACTTTCCTGCCCAGGCTGGCCTTGAACCTCAATTCTCAGATCTCAGCCTCCTGAATAGCTAGGATCACAGGCCCGAACTACCAGCGCACTGTCCCTGGATTCTCTTTTATTTATTGTTCCTAACCCTGTAACATCTTTGTTTTGTGACATGTTCCTGACATTGATCTCAGAATCTGCAGAATCATAACAGGACCAATCGATATAACCACAGAACAATTAAATGAGATTTAAAGAAAGTACTATAAGAATACTATGATTTTCTTGATGCCTTAGGACAAAAAAGTGTGTCATGTTTTGAATTTGTGTAGGTGAGAAGTTAGTTTTTTGTTTAAGGCCTTGTATTATAGAGAGTTTTAGATTTATACCAACACTACAACAAACCTATAGATAGCCCTCACTCCATTTCAAAATGGTTTCACCTCTTCCGTAACCCATCCTGAGCTCTGCTGCTGTGAGAGTTCTGGTAGCTTCCAGAAGCATGGGTGAGAAGTAGGCCCAGTCCATTTGTCAGATGAAGTTACTGTTTTGTTTGGAATCAAATCTCAGGCATCTTCTCATTCCATGTATAAATATTTCAATGTGTGCATATATTTTTTAAAGAAATGCAAATGATTAAGTTCAGGCATTTATTTTAGGCACCTTCTATGCAATTGTAATTTTGAGCTTTTGTTAACAACTATTTTTATTGTTATTATTGTTATTATTAAGGTGCTATACAGAGAGATCACTAAAGCATAAGTCAGGTAATAAGTACAATTCTTTGTGGACAGTATTTCCCAGTTTCCCCTTCCCGTCCTTGCCCACAAGTTGCATAGTTTATTTTCTCTGTACTATATACTATCATGCCTGTATTTGTTTATCCTTTCTTCCTCCATTTCTGCATCCCATTCTCCTCACTAAAAAGACAAAAACAAACCTAAAAGCAAAGGCAAACTACCACTATCACTAACAGCAAAACCCTCTTATTTCCCTTTCCTAGAACTAGTTTTGATAAATAGTATTTTAAATGTTTGGAGGAGTAAGGCCTTTGTTTTTTTTTTGTCGGTCCTGAGGCCTGAACTCTGGGCCTAGTCACTGTCCCTCAGCTCTTCAAGGCTAGTGCTCTACCACTTAAGGCACAGTGCCACTTCCGGCTTTTTCTACTTATGTGGTGCTGAGGAATCGAACCCAGGGCCTCATGCATGCAAGGCAAGCACTCTACCACTGAACCACCTTCCCAGCCCCTCAATGTTTATTTTTAAATAGATCATGTAAATCTGGTGTTGGTGGCTTACTCCTATAATCCTAGCTACTCAAGATTGAAGTTTGAAGTCAACTCCAGCCAATGAAGTCCCTATGAAACTTATCTCCAATTAACCACTCAAAAACCAGAAGTGGAGCTGTGTCTCAAAGTAGTAAAGAGCTAGTCTTGAGCAAAAGAGCACAGGGACAGTGTCCAGGGCCTGATTTCAAGTCCCATGATGGACAAAAAAATAAAAATAAACGAATAAAAAGATCATGTAAACAGCATAGAGAGATTCCGAGAAGTGAGCAAGAAGTCTTAAGTGCCCCTGGCATTTTGCATTTCATTAAGAGAAACACTGAAATATCAACACATGTGCCCATCGATCCAATACCAGCCATTGTAACTCCTCTCATGCTTCAAGGCAAACTCCAGATATAACATTAAGCATTAACTACTTCAGTACAGAGACAGGCACTGGTGGCTCATGCCTGTAATACTAGCTGTTCAGAAGGCTGAGATCTGAGGATGGCAGTTTGAAGCTAGCTCAGGCAGACAAATCTGCGAGAAGAGCTCTTATCTCCAGCCCAAAGCTAGAAGTGGAGGTGTACCAGAGTAGAGTACCAGACTTGAGTGGAAAAAGCCAAGTGAGAGTTTGAGGCTGAATTCAAGCCCCAGTACTGGAATGAAACAAAACAAATATCTCAGAGTGTTTTTCTAAAAAGAAATATGGTACATTGCAAATAATTCAGATCCTTAAATTGTTTATTTTTAAACAGAGCTCAAAATTATGGCTGAGGACTGCAGAAATGAAAAAAAAAACAGTATTCCTGATTTTTTTTTTATTGTGAAAATACTGTACAGAGGGGTTACAATTACATGGGCAAGATAATGAGTACATTTCTTATCAAGCGTTGTAGCCTCCTCCTTTGTTTCCCCTTCCCATCCCTTCCCATCCTCCCCCCACCCAATCCTCCCGGCGCCCCCCCCACCCCCGCACCAAAGTTGTGAAGTTCGTTTTCGACATAACGACTTGTACATCTCATTGTTGCAATGGGTCCACCTGTATCCCTATTTAAACGATTTGTTTTTCCCCTTCCCCTCCACAAATTATACCAACATCAAATACAGTGAAAGCAGGGGTTATACTGTGGGGGAGGGACATACAAAGCAACAAAGAAATAATCTTATAAATGTGTTAGAAACAATCGCATGAAAGAAAAAAAATTTAAATACATATCTTAGAGTTCATTTCCCTAACATCACCTTATCTGACCTTTTCTGCTTGACTCAGACATATACTAAATATTGCAAATAAGGGAAACCATGGGACCTATGTTTTCCTGGTGTCTTTGATTTAGAGTTTACATGTCATGGAAGTCATCTGAGTACATTCCATAGCTTTTCAGTAAATCCAGTCATGCAACCATCATCACACTCAGTTTCAGAAATTTTTCTTTCGTTTTTTTTTTGTCTTTTCTTTTTTGGTTGGAAAATTTTCATCACCACCAAAAATTATTAGCAGTTACCCCCCTTTTCTTCTTCCCCCTGCCCCAATGACCCCATCCAGGCCCCCCCCCAATTGACCCCTGTCCTGTTTCTATGGACTTGTCTGTTCTGCGTGGTTCATATAAATGAGATCATCATATACTATGTGATCTTTAATGACTGACTTCTTTCACTTCCCATGTTGTCTGGGTTTAC